AGGGCATGGGCAAAGAAATTGGGGAAACCTGCACACTAATCCTAGCTTCTTTATGTGCAAGTTACTCTTCTATAGCCTGTTTGTTCATCTGTGAAATGGAATGAAATTACTAATTTTATAGTATTATTGTAAGAACTCAATTACATTAAGTAATATAAAATTGAAGGTCTCTAACAATATCCTTCTCACTGTGAACTAAAATGTAAGTCCATTTCTCTCTTTGGTTTCCACTTCCTCCTCTTATCTGCTTCCATGATGTCACTTAAAGTGAGCCAAACAAACCACAGAAATAAATTATTTGGGAAGTTTTGTGACCATTTCACTTTTGCTAAGGGATAATTTTTAAATTCCTGTTTTGATATCTGGACACTACTGGCTGTACATACTCTTTTCTACACAACACACACACACACACACACACACACACACACACCTTTTTTCATTAGGTTTCTGCAGAGAAGAAATATCTGTGTTGAAGGGCTGGTGAGATAGCTCAGTGGACTAAGTGCCTGCTTAGGCAAGCACAGGGCCCAGGCTTTGATCCCTGGCACCACATGCCATGCCAGATCTGCCCCCAGGCTTGCTGAGTGGGCCACTGAGGCTGAGCATAGTGGCCATGCCTGTAATCCCAGTGCTGGAGAGGCTGAAAACAGGAGGATCACTGTGAGTCTGAGCTGCGTAGTGAGAACCTATACCAAATACATAAAATAAAAAAAATTTTAAAAGTATCTGTGTTGAGTACAGAAAAATCTTTTTTTTTTTTTTTTTTTTTCTGTACTTATGATCGGGTCTACAGAGTCTATAGGGTCTCACTATGTAGATGAGACTCTTAGTGATTCTCCTGTTTTCAGCCTCCCAAGTGCTGCACGTGGAGGATCGAACCCCAGCTACTGTGCTCTGCCTAAGCAGGCACTTTAGCCTGCTGAGCTATCAGGTTGGCCCTGAGTACAGTAAGGTCTTATAACTTCCTCTGATAATCTTGCTTATGATCTCCATCTGACCTTGGTTATGGTCACTTAGAGGCTGCTACTGGAGCTAAGTACTTTTGGGGCAATTATGGTTACTCTGCACTGCCAATTCTAAGGCTAACAAAAGAGTGTACTTTGGTTTAAAGAATAAAACTAATTTTATATCAAAATGGAATTTTGCTTTGGCAGCTAACAGGAGCTATTAGTGAATCCACATGTTTTGTAAGACAAAGTAGATTAGGGTAGAACACTATCAATTTAATTAAGCAAGTCACTATATTACAATATGCAGACTAATTTTAGCATGTAGATATTGGTACTACTGTGGCTTTCTGCCTTTTGAATCTCATGGTATAATATGAGAGCTCTCACCCTGACCTTGTAGACCACAGGTCTTGCTGCTCTTCTATAGTCTCTTGATTCAGTGCTCCCTACCCTTCATTTGCTACACTGCTTGGTAAATTGGTAGCTCTGAATGTATTGCCAGAGGAGCACCTCTTCAGGAAGAGGAGGGAGTTTGGGGTGGTGGTTGAATGATTGCAGTCTTCCTAAGTATTTATAGCTCTCTGCTTTCTGATGATTCTCTAGGCTGCTAGCAGGCACGTGTCCATTGTTTTTAAGCAAAGCCCAGTATGTATGTTTGACAAGTTAGCGGCACGGCAGCTCTGCTTGTTCCCCAGCCTTGCCGCCGTCTCAGAGATTGTTTGGTTTGGCAGATGGCCAGCTCTCTGCTATAAGATGCATTTCCTTGACAGGACAAAGTGTGGAACTGCATTAGCTGCAGAGTTTACAAAGGTTAGCCAAACACACACAATAAATATTAATAAACAAAAAAGGCCCACCCACCTTTGACTTTGAATTCTGTTTCTTCAGTCTGTGTTTTGGAATCCCTGTAGTATTTGATTAATAACCAGTCTTAGGGTAATTGAGCCTTAAGTATCCCTTGCATGAGTGAGTCTGCTCACAGGCCCCTCATTGGCAGCTTTGGTGACTCAGTCATTCCAGAGATCTGTTTAGTATAAGGAGTCTTACTTGCCTCCCTGCTTCAGCAGGAAAAGGGTAAATGTGTTTCTTCATAAGAGCGTAAGCTGACTAGTGTGTGTGTGTGTGTGTGTGTGTGTGTG